TCTCCACGGGCTTCCCGCCGGCGCGCGTGTGCGTGCCTGCTTCTGAGCGCCGGAAGGTTCAGCATCCCCTACGTCTTCCTTCTTGCTTTCTTGGAAGCAACTTTTTAATATCCCGATGCCTTCCTCTGCCATAAAGCAGAGCGTGGGCTTAATTTGTATAATCAAGCCCTGCTGCAAAATGCTCTGATGAAGCAATCTTGTTGAGGAGTAGAAATACGGAGAGTGGATAATAACTCTTGTAACCTTCAGCAAATTGTTAGCCCTGGCTCAATGTCCTTCGTAATGAAGTCTGCACTAGACTTCTACTGCAACGGCCTTACCTAACAAAGAAGACGATGAAGGTGAAGTCCCCGTGGTGTACACCTGGTTGCTAATCGTGCACTCAGTGCTATTGTCACCATTTTTTAAAAAATACCCCTTTTTTTTGAAGTTAGGCTTGGAGGTGTGATTAGAAGTTCTTTTTTTTTTTTTTTTCCCACATTGTAACATCAATTTATGGCTGAGTTTCATTCAGTCCTGCATTCAGCAGTGCAGTACAGGTTTTAGTGATGTGTTGTCTGTAACATGGTATTATAGAGTAGCCAGTTGGTAAGAAAAAGAACAAAACGGAAAGAAAAACAAAAAAAAAAAACCCACAAAAAAGAGAAACTGAAAAAAAATGTAAATGGAGTATTTTGTGGTATGTACAACACAAATTAATTTTACACAGAGAAAGATGTTTCTAAGAAAATGAAATTCTGATAATTCATACTATTTGTATGAACAAATAAAAGCTATATTTTACCAAGTGAAGGGCACAGTTGTATTCATTCAGCACTGCGGAGGTGGAGGTGGCCTCCCCACGAGGGTTTGGTGGTGCAGGCCCCCAACACTTGCACGTCCACCCCGGTAATGTCCCTGCAGCTGTGCTGGCCCCACGGCGAAGCCCACAAGCGCATGCTGAAGCCAGCAGGATTTAATCCCCTGTGTGAGCACCCACCCAGCACAGGGCTGTGTCTGGGAGCCAGAGGCTTCAGCGGGTGGTGGACGTGGACATGTTTTGCTCAGTTGGGTTGTGCGGGGGCTGATCTGTCCCGTCAAGCGCTTTCATCAAACGCCATTTCAGGGAAGGAGACCTGGGGGGTTGCCCTCAGCCCTGCGGAGGATGGGTGGTCTTGATGGTTGGTGAAACCATCCTCCTGCATCAGGGATGCTGGAGGACAAATTCAGTCCTCTACAGCTGGTGGTGGAGAAACTTTCCAGTGCCAAGTTTATTTTCAAAAGCATTGCACTTACAGTGGTGATGCTGGTCCAAACCTCTGGGGCCAGTGGTTCCTATTGCTCCCTACACACTCAGCACTTTAAGATATAAAAATTCATTATCATTAAACTCAGAAGAGTCCCAGGCCAGTGCTCTACAAAGTAGTGCCTGAAGACCATTACAGATTTATGTAATCTAGCAATTGCCACTTAACTAAACTGAATTAAAATAATTTAATTTTTCTTAGCAAGTCTTGCATCCGGTGCGGAGTAATTGATGGGAGTCTTCTAGATTGCCCATTTTTCAGAGACCTTCTCGAAAAGGAGTCAAAAGTAAGCACAAGATTTAATATAGCGATATAGGAAGGGTTCAACCTGGAAACCTCCAGCTTGTCAGGATTGTAATTAGCTGCTCCCAAACTCTGGTGATGCTGAAGTTCTGTAGGTGTTCATTTTTAAAATATATATATGTAGATTTTACCTCAAAATTCCCATGTACCTTTTGAGTGGCACAGCTGGATGAGCTGAGAGCTGACCTCAGCTTCATTGAGTTGAGTAACTTGTTACCTCATTCTCACCTCACCTTGATTACATTCCAGACCAGGTGCTCCTCTGCTAATGCCCCAGCAGATGTCAATCCCATAGGCACCCTAGGTTGTGGCAGCGTATAGAGTGCTGTCCTTTATTCTTGCGTTTTATAAGAACTACTCAGTTCTGGGATGGAAAAATCTGTGGGTCCTTTTCCTTCATGGGGGACTGGTGCTGCGTGGGAAAGGGAAGGTAAGTCCCTGTGAAACAGGGTTCAGCTTCTCTAATGTCCTCTGTATCTCCCTGTAGGTGGTTCCCAGTTGTACCTGGGCTTGTGGAAGCTGGGCAGTGTTTCCCCACTCAGTTTGGGCTGGGCCCCATTCTCAGATGCTCTTTTGGCAAGAGCATCGAGAAGATGAGTGTCTGTGTGGTTTATGGGATCCCATCCTGAATGCAGAGAAGGGTTTGCTCTGAAGGAGATGGCCTGAAGGGTCTTCTAGTGGCTTTGGGGACTTGTGCTGAAGGAGGAAGCTCTTGAGGGAGAATGGTTTGGTGAAGAGGTAGGTGAGGGAGAGGCAGCCAGTGAAAGGTTGCTGCTGCTGCTGGTGGTAACTAAGATGAATTTATTTATTCTCTAGGTTGGTGGAAGAAAGGTGATGAGCTATTGCTTTCATCTAAAAATCAACCAGGTGTCAAGGTTGTGCGAATGGATGTGACATTTCTAGTGAAGGTTCTTTGAAGTCTGGTGCTGAGATAACGCCCCAGAAGGGTGTCACCTTGCAAAGATGCGGATGTCAGGGATGAGCAAGCACAGAGGTGGGAGGAATTCATCTGCAAGAGAAAGGGCTGCTGCTGTGAGCACCTCTGTGTGG